CGGCCATCTGAATGCCGAACTTTCAATCCTACTTGAGAATATCCAATCATAAAATAACTCGGCGTGCAATGCGCCGAGCTTAGTAAGCTGTAACACCTCACTTCGTTGACAAGACTAATGAGATGACCTCGACCAATAAGGATTCAGAAATCCTTTTCGACCGAGACTTGGATAGATAACCAACCGTCCTCGCCGCAGTGCTGTTGATGCCAATGGAAGATGCTGCGAGATCGGCATAGATAGCTCTGTCACCGTAGAATTAGCTGATCTCGCAGCATCTTCCGTTGGCATCAACAACACTGCGGCGAGGACGGCTGGTTACCTATCCAAGTCTCGGTCGAGAAGGGTTTCCGAATCCTTATTGATTGAGGTTATCTCATTAGCCTTCTTGGCGAAGTGAGGTGTTACAAGTTACTACATTCGGCACATTGAAAGCCGAATTTGATATTGAACTTTGCTAAGTTAGCAGCCTTGTCTTCATGCTCTAGAACCCGAAAGCCGAGACAAGTTCCTTCCTCGGCCGCAGTCGCGAGATTCAGAAGTCAGCAGCGCACCCAACGCAATATCAACAAATTTTACTCCTCGGCCGAGCTCGGCCGAAGAGTTGGCATGCTCCGCATACAACCGAATGACGTAGTTAACTTAATAATTACTCGGCCTGCGCGCCAAGTAGGCTTGGTAGTTTTTAGGGTCAACATTTTGGCACGCCCAGTGAGACCCAGTGCTAAAACTACGAAGTTCACATGATCTATCTCGATCTCGATCAGGCTTCAAGGGATGAGTGTCATCGCCTATTAAAGAAGCAAAAACAACTTCTCGAAAGATTGGAAAGAATTTCTGAAAGGCAAGAGGCCGGGGGGCAAATTTCCACTCTGGCCACAACCAATATTCGGCCTAAGAAAATTGTTAATTTGGCCGAAGAACAAAGACCACCTATTTTTTCGGTCGAGACTGGAAGTGTGGTAGGCCTAGAAGAAAATGTTCAAGTTTCTGAGCCACAAATTAACTCAGAAAATGAGTCGTCAGAGGAGTGCTCCAATGACGAACAAGGTCGTAACATTGGCTTAACCCAAGAAACCACGACAATTGATATGATTATTGGCGATAAAGCCGATATGGAGAAATCTCGTTCGGCTAAGATGTTTGAATTAAAAGTTGAAATTATTATGCTCGGGGGGGGGGGGGGGGGGGGCATAGTAATTGTTCAATACATTCGACAACCGATGATAAAAAAATATTTCGCCAAGTCAAAAATATTTGGAGGAAAATCCTTATTCGGCCTAGAGCGAAATCAATGTGAAGATTTTGTTATTACAAGATCTCGACTTGGAATAAAGCATCGTTGGCCTCCTCCTAACTATGGTTCGGCCACTTTTCTTTTCGTTTGTTAAATATATATACATGTTATTTTCTTAAACATACGGCTATGCAAGCCGATGCATAAGAAAATAAGGGGGCAACAACATTCTGGCCGAATAAAAATTTGGTCGAATACACTTGTTTGACTATTTTGGCCGAATGCATTTATTTGTGAACTTTGCTTACAAAAGCCTCGGCCTCGGCCCCATTGCGAAACAAAGCCTCGGTCAAAACATATATATATATATATGTAAAAAAAAAAAAAAAACCACCTTTTGGCCGAATTGTCATGGATATATATATCATGTTGGGATACCATTATTGAATTTTAAATGCCGAGGCATGGATAGCTGAATGACAGGCTATCCACATGTAATTGTTTCTTGAAGACAAGCAGGCTACTTGGTGGTAGGGCTTCGACTTCGACCCTGGCAGGCCTTCAACCCCACTTGGGTTTTCTCGGCCTTGACCCCATTTTTTTTTCCTCGGCACAGCAACAGCACCATCATGCTTCTTTCATGATTGTTGACACTCAAGTCGTCGAAGATGGAGATGATAAGCTGCTCGTGCTTGACTTTACAGTATTTTTGGCATCCCTTTGAATGATGGAAGACAAGACCTTTCTGGTATGGTTCCGCCAATTTATCGGATATATATATACATATGTTTCATGTATGCCAACGTTTTCCGAGCTCGGCGAGAATGAGTTGGTGCTCGGCAATGAAATCATGGGGTTGAGGATATTAACCCATTCGGTCGGTTCAGAAAAAGATGTATATGGCAGCCTTATGCAATCACATTGGAATCTTGGCCAACTCGTCGACCTCGGCCCAGTTTCAGCATAGATGTAAATTGTTCTCAGGTGGCAGGCCGAGCTACCAGGAATGGTCGCATCAAATAAGTTGTTCACCTGCCACTTACTCCTCTGTTGGGAGAAATGATTAGTTATCGATTCGACGGAAGTACTTAGTGGTGGGCCGGTGGCCAAGTTCAAATGCAAAATGCTTAGTTTCCTTAACCATTCGGCTTACGAATTGAAGCTCAAGAAAATTGGGGGGCAATGTTTGGGCCTAAAATTACACAATCGGCTTGAGTGATCAAAGTCGTTGAGCGTTACAAATTTTCTTCCATGCGTGATGCATATGTGTGTGGGTGAGGGACTTTCCATGCAATTTGTGTATGCGTGGAGTGATCAGCACAAAGATATGTAAAAGGATTAGCATGTTCTGCATGGATGAGAATGGATCAAGTTGGAACTTGACCAAGCAAAAAGTTAGTGATAATTACCATCGAAAAGTGATAAGTGCCGTCTGAAAGGAGATATAATTTGAAATGGATATGGTCTCTTGGGGCATGCAAAAGATAAGAGATGGTAAAGAATAAAATAATATTCTTTTGTTTTCCTACATGGTCAAAACAACAATGTGCATTGAATGTTGCCAATAATCTAGCCAAAGCAAGATTGTCAGATAAATCTTTGAAAGCTGAATTTGGTGGAAGGTCAGGTTTTCAAGATTACAGCGGGTTTTGATTGATGTGATAAGGTGTAGGGTTAGCAACAGATAAAGACTCAAAGTCACGGTGCAATTAGGATGGGTTTCTGCGACTTGGGCACGCACATTTCTATAAATACCATGCGGCAGACAACTAAAAACCTCTCAAATTCAACACACAACTGCCCTGCGCAAACTCTCTCAACAACTTTGAGATTTTTTTTATTTTCTCTTTTCGCTGACACATCTTCCGTTGGCATCAACAACATTGTGAAAGCAACCGGTGATATCTTCTGTTGGCATAGATAGCTCTGTCACCGTAGAATCAGTCGATCTCGTAGCATCTTCCGTTGGCATCAACAGCACTGCGACGAGGACGGTTGGTTATCTATCCAAGTCTCGGTCGAAAAGGATTTCCGAATCCTTATTGGTCGAGGTCATCTCATTAGCCTTGTCGGCAAAGTAAGGTGTTACAAGTTACTACAATCGGCACATTGAAAGCCGAATTTGATATTGAACTTCGCTAAGTTAGTAGTCTTGTCTTCAGGCTTTAGAACCCGAAGGCCGAGACAAGTTCCTTCCTTGGCCACAGTCGCGAGATTCAGAAGTCAATAGCGCACCCAACGCAATATCAACAAATTTTACTCCTCGGCTAAGCTCGGCCGACGAGTTGGCACGCCCTGCATACAACCGAAGGACGTAGTTAACTTACTAATTACTCGGCCTGCACGCCACGTAGGCTTGGTAGTTTTTAGGGTCAACAAGTTGCTAACCCCTTGCAATGGTTTGGAGTTGGTTACAACCTTTCTTCCTTGTCCCTCTACTCCTTCTCTTCACCATTTACCCTCCCGCACCTACCTCTTCCCCATCTATCCAACCATTATTTTGTGAGCAACCTTCCATGCTCTAATGGATGCCAATCTCAAACCCATTTATATGCTCCCTTTTTGGGATAGATTGATGGGTTTGAGTCAGGCTTGTGACTGTGGTGGGTCGAAATCACCTTCTACCGATTATTTTCACAGTGACCGTACCCCTCCCTAAATGTTTTAGTGGCTGAGCCGTCTTCCTTACATTAAATTCGAGTTGGAGGATCCCTCCAAGGGCCATGACTGTTGCAGATCTAGCTTGATTCAAGATCCATGATTAGATTTGTTACGGATGACACTTTTAGTGGGTCTATCAAACCAACCCACTCGATATGAATTGGATTGGGTTGGGTTATAAACATTAACTATTTATTTATGAGTGAAAATTTGACCACTCATTCAATAAGTGAGTTGAGTTGGGTTGAAGTATTATTTAACTCAATTGCAACTGATTCACCTGAATTATAATAATTTTTTTTTAACAAACGATATTATCTACATTAAGTAGGAAATGATGAGTTTAGCCTTATAATAGGCTATCAATAATTTGGTTCAAATTCTTAAACAGACATGTATATTAGATATATATATATATATATATATATATATATATATATATATTATCTATCTATATTCTATATTATTAAGAGAACACACCTTGTCAACTTTTTTGCCCACTTTTTCCAATTTTGTACCTCACTTTTGAATACACAATGTTGAGATAAGGGGGGTAAAATAGAAATTTTATACCTTTTGATAAAATGATAATCATATCCCTTTTTTCCTATTTTACCCTCACTTTTGATATCTAATATTTACATAAGGAAGGCAAAATAGTAATTTTGTATCAAAATATTTACATAAGATAAAATATGCACTTATTAAGAGAAATTGTTCCATCATCATTTTTTTCATACAGGTAAGTGAAATCATGATGTTTTTTAGAAAGTTTGAATGAACTGAAGCGGTTGTGCTTGAGGAGAATGTGGGAGGAGGTGGGCGGTTGTTCACACACACAAAGTGTGTGCTCTCTGCTAGTATATAATAGGGTAGTGTTAACTATATACCCATTTTTACCTCTCACATACCCCTTTCAATTCCTTGTTATAAATTAAATAAAAGGAAAACTAATGAAAAAGGCTTAAAAACTTTGAGTTTTAACAAAATGATAAAAATGTGTTGTAAGTGAATAATATCAAGATTGACTTTTTAGAGTAAAAATATAATTTATCACACTGCCCCCTAAAAATAAAAAAGAAATCAATTAAATCAACTCGCGGAAACCGCCCAATCCATTCGGCATAAAAGGAGTGAAGCTGGGTTGGTTTGCCCATTTTCGCAAGGACAAAGCGATTTACTAGTCTCTTCCCAGATTTTCCTGCACTACTGAAGCAAATACAACATGAGTGGCGCCAATAACGGTACTCTCTCTCTCCCTCTCTCTCTCCAATCTGTTTGGTATCTGAGAAAATCTAACCTCATACAACTTTCTCAGCAACCAAACAAACATGACACAATTAAATCTTTCGGATCCCCTTACTCTCAATTGTAATCTCTCTCCCTCTCTCTACAGATGCCACTTCGCCTTCCTTCCTCTCCGACAAATCGGCCAAGATCTTCGTAGCCGGCCACCGCGGCCTCGTCGGCTCCGCCATCGTCCGCAAGCTCCTAGCCCTAGGCTTCACCAACCTCGTCCTCCGCACCCACGCCGAGCTCGACCTCACCCGCCAAGCCGACGTCGAGTCCTTCTTCGCCGCCGAGAAACCCCGATTCGTGATCCTCGCCGCCGCTAAAGTCGGCGGCATTCACGCCAACAACACCTACCCGGCGGATTTCATTGCCGTCAATCTCCAGATCCAAACCAACGTCATCGACGCCGCCTACCGATTCGGAGTCAAGAAGCTCTTGTTCCTCGGCTCCTCCTGCATTTACCCCAAATTCGCTCCTCAGCCCATCCCGGAGAACGCATTGCTGACGGGCCCGCTCGAGCCCACGAACGAGTGGTACGCCATTGCCAAGATCGCCGGGATCAAGATGTGCCAGGCGTATCGGATTCAGTACAATTGGGATGCAATTTCTGGGATGCCCACCAATTTGTACGGGCCGCATGATAACTTTCACCCCGAAAATTCGCACGTTTTGCCGGCACTGATGAGGCGGTTTCATGAGGCAAAGGTGAAGGGTGCGGAGGAGGTGGTGGTGTGGGGGACCGGAAGCCCCTTGAGGGAGTTTTTGCATGTCGATGATTTGGCGGATGGGGTGGTGTTCATGATGGAGAGTTACAGTGGGTTGGAGCATGTCAATGTGGGGAGTGGCAAGGAAGTGACTATCAAGGAGTTGGCTGAGCTTGTCAAGGAGGTTGTTGGGTTCGGGGGACGACTTGTCTGGGACTCTACTAAGCCGGATGGAACTCCGAGGAAGCTCATGGATAGCTCAAAGCTCGCAGGCTTGGGATGGACACCGAAGATCTCGCTGAAAGATGGGCTTGTTGATACTTATAGCTGGTACTTGGAGAATGTCAAGCAGTGATAGTGCAGGTGATTCCATTGCATTAGATTTCGTTTTTGTTATCATCCTTAAATTGTTATTGTTCTTAGTTACATGTAAAATGAGGAGCCTAGCCTACCTTGGATGTTGATTCTGTATCGATTATGTCGAATAAGTTATCTGTGCATTTGCTGCTACTAGAACCAAGTGAGCTATTTGTATTTACAGATTGAACCATTTTAGATAATTTAATATATATGTTTAATAAAATCTTCATGTTAATAGGATTCCCAAAGTAGCGGTAGACTTCGTTATCTTCTTAGTTAAGCGGTTTCATCTTCTTCTTCGCATCGATTTGGTTCTCTACCCTCCCTGTTTCATTATCTTTTGAAGCTTCCTATCCGTGCCCCTAGGCTTGCAATGATTTAGTTCCCGGTTGGAGAGATTTGAGTAGGGTAACCCCAAACTGTGAAACAGTAGTGTTGGAAAAATGAAGAAATGGCCTGAAGGTGTCCACTTCATTAACCGAAATGCCCTTCAAAATTGGTCATAGTTTGTCAACTTTTGTAACAGTTGTATCGCACAAAGTCAAGTTCTTTGTGTGATGGTCTAAAATTCAAGGGTCAAGGACCAAAGGAGGCGTTTGATCAACACGGACACCTACAGCAGACTAAGCTCCATTGTAGGTTTAAGAGAAGAAAAGAAGTGGACAACCGTGGTCGGTTAGCCTCCAACTCAGGAATGCCTGATTTGTAACCTTTGATCTAGGCTCTCACTCGCTCACTTGAGCCTTTAATACATTCAGTAACTCTTGGGATATCTAATTATCATTCCCTGTTTTATATGGTATTTATACATGCATTTATAGTGAAAAATTCTTACATACAACACGCTCCTCACGCTGTGAGAGAAACGTTGCATTCCCTCTGTCATGTTTAAGAATCTTTCTGCACATAATAAGGTGTGCGTGAACATAAACTTGTATTAATCTGGGGAAAACCTCTTATCGCTTGGCCTAATTACATGCAGCAGTAGTGTTAGTTCTAACCAGCTTAAGGGGAAAATATACTGTCACCACTGGCACATCTCCACACCTGTGGATAGTACTCGTTCTCTTTCAATGCCATTGCTAGAACAGATCCTTGAATTCGTTACATTTTGAATGACAAGTAGCTGGAAATGACCCTCTCCTTACCTTTTTAACAATCCCATTCCCCTTAGGCACCGCGTGATCATTCAGCGCTGGCATCCCGACAGCCTAACACAGAATTCAGAAAATGAAATGATATAAACAGAAAGTTAAGAGTTAATAATTTGATTAGAAAAAAGTGTCGGATGAAGTACTCACGGGCGAAGGTGATGGAGAAGGTGATGGAGACGGTGATGGAGAGCTAGCGAAGTTGCTGGACTGAACCGAGAAGAAATGAGCATGGTGAGCATGAGGGCAAACAGAAGTTTTCTAGGATTTGCTGCTGCTTGCATTTTCGTTCTGTTTGAGGCAATGCTCTGTTTGACTTTCTATAAAAGCTGTTTGCTTTTCGTTTTTCAATTAAATTGAAAATTTTGAATTCGTCTGGTACAAGAAGGTGCAGGTGAGAGTATGCGATGAATGTTGCAGTGGTTGAAAAATTAGGGTAAGATTCTGAAGTAGTCAAGATGCTCCTCACGTGTTAGCTAAGGAGAATATGATCATCTTGCAAGGGTGGTCACGTGTGTATGACACCATCAAGATGTTGGCAGAAATGAAAGGCCTTTTTGTTTGGAAAATGATTTTTGAACATTACTCGCTCTTCTTTAATCAAAAGGCTAAAAATAAACATGAGTGTGCATGCGACGAAATATGGGATGTGATCATTTTCCTTGATCATAATCTAATTTTACCCTTAACTCGCAACTCTGTAACTTTGCTCCCTTTGTTCTTTCATTTCGTATGCCAAGTTAATCCCATTTCGTCATGTTGCCATGTTGGTTAGAAAATTGTTAACTTGGTTGTTTTGGGACTAGAGCCAAAACAATAAACATACCAAGTTTTAAGCAAATTGTCGATTTATTAACCATTTTTCTGACAAAATGACGGAATGGAGTACCATGAGACATGAAATGAAAGCACATAAAGTAAAGTGAGATTTTCATCATAACATTGTGAGCATATAAAACAAATTAGCCAAGATAATAACAATCAGATCCTCCTAGTCCACAAGGTGCAAGAAAAAAACCTTGGTCAAATATTTCCCAATAAAATATTTGAATAAATGAGAGGGTGAACAACATTTCCATTTGATATTTTATGACCTACAAATTAAACAAATCTAGACTCGGGTTGTTCATGTTTGAGTATTTGCCAATCAAAATTTTGTGTTCTCAAGTTAATGTCAATATCTACAAGACTCTACACTTTTGGGAACTTGAAGAGGAGAAAGAAAAGGGAGAATAAACAGTTTTAGGTGTATCAAATGAAGATCCCAAGCTGATAGGATAAAATTACAACAGAAAATTTGCTACTGCAACCCCAAAAAGAATTGAATGACATCCAAAATTTTCAAAACTACAGAAAAACTAATTATCGTCTGCAGAATGTTGGCCACTTTGACGGGCATTAACAGACTTTCGGGCATTAACACCTCTGGGATCAAGAAGAGAACTATCTGACCTGAAGATCTTCTATATCAGTTAGAGTGTTCTCAGTTGACCTCTTGTTGGGTAAGTTCACCACCAACTGACCACATGCTCCACTTATGTCCTGACCCATTTCCTTGAGAACTGTAGTTCGAATGCCATAAGTGCCTCGTAGAATTTTCTGGAAGCTCGTTACTTTGTTTTCATTACTGGTTGAGAATTTACTCAGAATACCAATTGGATTAAAAGGTATTAAATTAATTACCTGTAGGACAGCAAACAACAAATGCGAAGGTTATTTTGGATATATATGATACGCAGACACACAGAAGAGACGGAAGTTCATAGATTAGAACTCACCACTTGAAATGTCTCTAGCAATTTTCCGAGTTGGTGTGCATGTTGCTCCTCATCATTCACTCCATCAAGCATTATGTACTCAATGAAGATTTTCTGCTGACTAAAGAATCAGATTGAAGGGCAATAGTGAGATTCCCTAGGAGTGTAAAACGACATTTCAGTTTCATTGTAAAGAAATGAAAGCTAAAAGAATTTACTAAACGCATGAGGTGTAACAAAACTTTACGTGTTATTTGATATTCTTGCAGTGTATCCATAAGCTTTACTAAAGGAAAAGCCCGAGCTGCAGGCATTATCTGACAACGGATTTCCTGGACTGGTGCATGAAGTGAAACTGCTAAATTCAGACCTGGAAGATCACTATGAAGCTTTTTGATAGCATGAATAATGCCAACCTACAGAAGATTAGATGAACAACTGATAGACCAGTAAGCCAAATGTTTTTAGCAGTTCGAACTACATCATTACTAATGCAACTATGATTGACCACACTCAACGAAAGAAGCAAAAAAGTACTACATACTACCCAATTTACTAAGATCCACCACATATAAAAACTACAAAACTTTGATTGTATAATCAAATAGAATAGCTTGAGAAAGTTATTAAAATCCACCATATCTGAATGTTTTGGCAGATAACAATATCTTAGACATAATGGTAATTTTCGATGCCCACCGTCGACACAGTAATTTTCTTTCGTGACAGATGAAATGGTGATCCAGTCATGACTTGAATCGCTTCCACTAAGGAACCATAGTTATTCAACTGTTCTCCCATTCCCTGACAAAATACACAAAATCAAAGTGTTCAACATTCAATGGTTCCCATATTTCCTCCATATCCATATCATTCAATAACAATCCCAAATGAAGTAAAGAAAAAACAATTACCATGAACACAATATTGCGTATAGGCGAAATGCGAGAAGCATGAACCAATTGCTCCACAATCTCCCCCGATGTCAGATTGCTCTTAAACCCCATACTCTCGGTAGCACAGAAAGTACAACCCATTTTGCAACCAACCTTACACATCAACATAAACATTCAATACCAGAAATTTCGACATGAAAACAAAAAAATTCAAAACTTTGATACCTGAGAATGATACACACAAGGTGGACCTAGGACCACCAGGGCGGGGCTTCCCGTCATACCTTCCCAAGCGGCTGTCATATCGCATAATCACAGCCTCCACAAGAGCCCCATTCTAACAAAAACAAAATAATGTGAGAATTTTTTTCACGGCGGCATTTTATCAAACAGTTTGTGTGCAGCATAAGAAATGGGGCAAACCTGCAGTTTTATGAGGAGCTTGGTGGTGAGTTGGTCTGAGGAGTCCATGACCTTGTGGACGGACGAGGTTAGGGTTTTGAATTTGGAGGTCAGGAGAGGGTACGCTGCCGAGGGCAAAGATGGAATTTGGTCGAATTGGGCATCGGGGTTTTGGATCACCTGCTTCCATATGTAGGGGATCAAGCTGGGCTTGACCCCGGAATTTTCCAGTTCCTATTTCAGCTCTCCGGCGTCGAAGATTGATCGAAACGCCGTCGTATTTCGCGCGCTTTGCATAGTTTTGAAAGTTGGTTTGGGTGTTGCGGCAATGGAGTCGGAGTGTGGCTTATGGCTCTGTTGGGAAATCATCCGTCGGGGAAGGAAACCGTGGAAGAGCGTCTGAAAAAAAAATTAAAACGACGTCGGGTTGCCCCTTGTGTGAGAGTTTAGGGCCTAATCAGACAAAAAAAAAAAAAAAATTTTACCCGTACTTCTAGGAGAAATTCTAAGGTCCGGAAATTGACTCATTTCATACAGCACAAAGAAAAAAAAAGGGATTTTTTTATATAGGCGTCTCAATTTTGAATTTTATAGATCAAACATTCATGACTTTTAGTTATTTGATCATTTTTTTTTGTTATAATTTTGGTGCTATATGCACATTATATTGTAACAAATTTCCTATATCTAGCCTTTTGATTACACTCTCCTCCGTTAGAGATAATTGTTAAAAAAAAATGGTTAGATTCAATTTATTTTCACAATAATGCTACAATTTAGCAATAATTATCTACGATTTAAGATATTTTCTTTCCAAAATAGTTTAAAATATTTTTAAATCCCACAAAATCAAACGTACCGAAATAAGTTTTTCTTTTAGTACGTTAAGAGAAAATAGGATTGAGAATAATATAAACGTACCAATATACAATGTGTACAAAATAAAACGTACCAAAATAAAAATAATGTACCAATATTAACAATATGTATCAAATCAAATGTACCAAAATTGTTAATAAACGTACCAATTAATG